AACTGCATAGTTGGGATAGAGTTAGACAAGTTTTGAATGCACGGCATTCTTCTTCAGGTCCATTCATGAAACCTCCAAGTCGCTGCTTTACCAAGTATTCCTTCAGGTGACCTGAAGAAGAATGCTTTGCATTTGAAAGCTTGTCTAACTCTATCCCAACTATACAGTTGGCCCAATAAAAGATATCACACTAAGAAATCCTTGCCTCTTGCATAATTCCTGGACCATCATAACTACATCACTCTAACACTATAGTTAGGATGGTTTTCTCAGGTCTTTGCTATTGGCTTATTATCCTATCAAATCAAACAATTGGTTCACTACTTTTATGTTGTGATGTGGATCTCTACATTTATACTACATAGTTCAAGAATGCCAGGCATTGAAGCTTTTGACCTTAGACAATAGAATAAAAAGATGACAACACTTAACTGGTATTTCGTTTCTGTCAGGGAGAAAGCCTCAGTGGCTTAGTTCTGTGGGACAACTGTATAAGTCCTAGGTGAACAGAATCTCATTTGGGATCAGTATTTTGAGTCTTCAAAATAATCAAGTTTCAAATTTGAATGAAGATTATGTATAGATACTCCAAACTTTAATCTGTTCCTAGTCTGAAGGCTCTCTCTACCAGCCAGCATCTCCGTGAAAGAGCAAGCAGTCTGGCAGCTAGCTTTCACATATAAATTCAGATGTCCAACCAGCAAATGACTGGAGACCTCCCGACAACTGGGATTATCATGAGTTTGATGGAGTGAAAGTAGAGCAGCAGTCAGGTTATGATGAAAGAATGGAGCAATGGCAGGGTGGGGTCCCCACTAATGGCAGAGCAGAGACCAAGGGAAGGATTGGGTTGACTAGGTGAAGAGGAGGAGAGTGCTAGAGTGGCCTCTGCATTGAACTGGAGCTGGACAGGTAGGAAGAGAGGAGTAAGTGAAGAAACAGAAATAGAATAGAGTAGATTAGAGCAAATAATTGCTCCAACTGAACCTTTAAGCTCAGTCTGAAAAAGGGGTGAACAGTCCCACAAGGAGAGGTTACAGGGCAACAGAACACAATATGGAGGGGGTCCAGCTGCAATTGGAGCACCTTACCCATGTTATGCACACCCACATAAACAAATGGTCTCTTCTAATTTAATTTGCATGTTGCTTTTCCACAGTGTATGAGTAGTCATTTATTCTTTAGAGTTCTATTGAAATTTGTAAGGTAAGACCTGAAAGCTACAATTTATTCCTAGCATCTCCTTTACATGATCTCTACAACTATCAGTCTAGCACTTTTCACCAGTATTATTTTTATTTTAAGAAGAAATGCTCTCGGGGAACGAAGTCTTGCATTTAAGTAGATGAAATATTAATATCAGCTATCATGAAGATAACAACATCAATGATGCTGAACACTGTTCAGTATTGAAAACTACTCTGTGAATTAAATGTTTTGGCCTACATTCCATTTGCCTCTAAGATATTTAAGCAACTTACATGACTCCTACATATACAAGTCACTAGGCATGATCCTATTCCATCCCACTCACCAACCAAAGGACCAATGAAATAAGTGGAGAAAAAAACAGGCTGTTTGATACGAGGAGGAGGGCCAGTCTAACTTTTATTGTAGCCTGGTAGTAAGGACACTTGCTCAAAAGCAGGAGACTGCATTATAGACCCTATTTCGCTACAGGGTGTTTGAATATACTTCTCACACTTCCCAGGAAGTGCTCTAACTACTGAGCTATGAGGTAGCCAGGGCTGGTGGCATCCTGTCCCCTTCCTCTTGAAGCTGGTGCACTTTAGAACAGGGGCGGGCAATTATTTCGGGTGGAGGACCACTTACTGAGTTTTGGCAAGCTGTCAAGGGCTGCATGGGTAGTCCTGCCCCTTAACAGGTCCCCACACCCTGGTCGCAATCTTGGGACTGGAAGCCCTGCCCCATTAACCTCTGACCTTTGCCACCAGAAAGCCCTCCCTTGCCCCTGGAAGTACTCCATTGGGGAAAAGGGCTTGCCATCTTAGAGGGAAAAACAAATTATACATTCAAAATCAAACACCTATAATAATATATTTTAATTTTAAAAATATATTTTGTCTTGATTTGTGTGCATTTGTGCTGTATATGTAGAAGTGATTGCATAATAGCTCAAAATGCAGTCTTACTCGTATATTGTGTGGGGTGTGCAGGAGTGTTGGGGGGTATGGGTGGGTGTGGGGTTTGTAGGGAGCTGTGGGTGGGTGGGTATGTGGATTTGTGGGGATGGGTGTGTGTGGGGATGGTATTGTGGGTATGGGAGCCACGGGATGCAGAGTGGCCGGCAGGTGGGCAGGAAAGTGGGGAAAGCAGTAGTGGGGATGGGAGGCCTACACCAATGTCCCAGGACCAGCACGGCCCAGAGCGTGGGGTGCAGGCTGGCAGGGGTCTATGGCAGGGGTTCCCAACCTTTTTATACTGTGGGCTTGCAAACTATATAATTTACAGATTTAAATTTACTTTACATGTTTAAATTTAATTTTTATGGGGTGGGGGCAGGGTTGCGAGGAACAGATTGGGTTGGGGCACTGGGGGACCCTGCAGGAGAAGGGGCTGAGCAGGTGGTGGCTCAGGGGGACACAGGTGAGACTGCCCAGGAAGAAGGGGCTCTGTTGCCTTTCCTAGGAGCAAGCAGCAGAGCTGTCTCCCTGTCCTTTGCTCTAGGCATTTCCCTGCCCACATCCCCTTGCTCCCAGCCATGGGTGGGGCTGGAGGGTACTGCCCGGCCCAGTGTGGGCCCTGGTACCTGGTGCACTTTACTGGGCGCAGCCATGGAGATGGGAGTGGCATGGGGCACACAGAGCCAGCTACCTCTTTCCTGGGGCTGCCCTGCTGCCTGCATGTGACTGCCAGTGGAGGAAGCCATGGCTCAGTGGTTGTGAACCCCTGGTCTATGGAGTCGGGCTGGGCTGCGTCAACAGGAAGAGAGTGCAGCTGGCCCGGCTCCATAGAGCCCCTGCCAGCTGGGACCCCACGCTCCTGCTGCCTTGCTCTGGGCCCTACCGGTGCTGGCCCTGGGTGAATGGCACAGGCTCCGTGCTCCTGTCTGGATGCCATGCGCCCACTCACTCCTAGCCCCACGGTACAGTGGGGATGATTGTGAGAATCCCTGACCCTGTGCTCACCTGTCTGGGATGAGCAGCGGTGGCGGTGAACAAAATGGTGCTCAGCGTGGTGGAAAAGCACACATCCACACTGTCAGCACTCCCTGCTGCAGCTGGTCGGAGTCCACACAGGGCTGCTTGTGCCTGCTCTCCATTGCCACCACAGGATGCCGGTGACGCCACATGTTGGCTCTCGCCAGCTGCAGCAGGGTGCGCCAGCAGCAGGGAGTGGAGGCCGCTTTTCCCCCATGCTGAGCACCAGTTTGTTCCCCACTGCTGCTGCTAGCTTGGGCCCCACATTGGCTCTGATCTCACCTGTCAAGCTGAGCGGCAGCAACAGCTGGGCACAAACTGCTGCTGGGGCAGAGGAAAGCAGCTCCTCCCGCTTGTCGCCACCGGGCAGTGTTTGCTGTGGCCACCCGCCCAGAACCTGCGCCACACTAGGCTGTGGTGTGGTTCCTTCACCACCGCTTGTGAGCTGTGGCTGTGTGGAGCAGCCACAGGGCAGCTCACAAGTGGCAGTGAAGGATATGTACCACAGCTTAGTGTGGCGTGGGCTCCAGGTGGGCGGCTGCAGCAAACACTGCCCAGTAGCAGCAGGAGGGAGGAAGCTCTTTCCTCTGCCCCAGCAGCAGTTTGTTCTCAGCTGCTGCTGCCGCTCAGCCTAACAGGTGAACCTGGAGCTGTCATGGGGCCCAGGCTAGCAGCAGTGACGGGAAACAAACTGGTGTTCAGCGCAGGGGAAAAGTGGCGCCCTGCCTCCGGCACTCCCTGCTGAAGCTGCTTGTAGCCCACGTGGGGTTGCCTGTGCCTGCTCTCTGTTGCCACTGCTGCCCCACGGGGCTCCAGTAATGTGGCAGAGAGGCAGGCAGCCCTGTGTGGGTTCTGGCCAGCTGCAGCAGAGAGCACTAGTGGTCAGGGGGCGGCTTTTCTCTTGTGCTGAGCACCAGTTCGTTCCCCGCTGCTGCTGCTCATCCTGGATGGGGTCAGGGCTGCTCGTGGTTGTACCTGCCTGTACCACAGGGCTAAGGCAGGCGGGGCTGGGAGTGAGCAGATGCATGGCAGCCCAACAGGAGCATGGGGCCCTTGTTGGTGGCCCAGGGCCAGTGGTGGTAGCGCCCAGAACAAGGTGGCGGGAGTGTGGGCTCCTGGCTGGCAGGGGCTCTATGGAGCTGGGCTGGCTCCCCTCTTTCCCTGCTGGGGCAGCCCAGCCCAGCTCCATAGAGCCCTGCCAGCCCATGCCCCACACTCCTGCTGCCCCACTCTGGATCCTGCCGGTGCTGGCCCTGGGGCCCTGGCATGGGACCTGGGGCCCCGACATAGGCCCTGTGCTCCCGCATACTTCCACCCCCATGGCCATTCCCGTTCTTACCTGAATCTCCTGCTCTGGTGCAGGGAGGTGCAAACATCCCCATGGTCCCAGACTAGAAGACCCTGCTGGGCAGGGGCTTCTGGCTAGGGGGTGGGCCTTGCTATTGCAGGAGTCTGCTGTGGCTTTCCCTGAGTCCTACTGCCCCTGGCTGTTGTCATCTTTGACAGGCAGCTAGGGGCAGATAAATATTAATTTTCCAAATTTTGGGGGGCCCTGGGGGGTGGACAGAATGGCCTGGTGGACTGGATTTGGCCCGCAGGCCATATTTTCCCCACCCCTGCTCTAGAAAGAAATGCAAATATCACAGCATCAGAAAGATAGTATGCAAGATGGTCCAACTCCTAGGAAAGAGGGCACTTCCCTGGAAGGGAGGGATCCCTGAATTCTGGCCTCTGTTCCCATACTCTTACCAATTACTAGAAATTCAAGTACTAATAACTGATATAATAGAAGTAACTACCTAACCCAAATGAAATAAAACCCAACCATTTGTGAAGTACCTCGGTAATTGATGATTTCTGTTCCAAGCACTGGAGTCATCTCTAGGACTGTGATGAAGGCTTTGTCCATAGATGTAAGAGGAAATGGCGACATGCGGTGTCTTCTTGCCACCTTGGTAATGTCAACAGCACTGTGACCTACAGAGGGAGAGTATCTAGTTTAAAAAAATAATCCCTGACATTTTCCTTGGGAGTGCCATAGGATGAATTAGATGTATTACAGCTACTGTCTTTCAGAAGAATCATATTATGTTTTACAAATTGCATAAGGGCAGCACCTTGTTTATCCCTGAAATGCAGTACTTTCACCTATGAGATGAATTACAGCAGCTGTTAAACACTGCATAGCCATTTAGGAAATTAAAGGAATTAATATGTATTTTATAAAGTTGAAATAGGGCTACTATCCCTGCTCCTAGAAAACATGCTTTAGAAGCTTTAGTGACCACAACAAGTCATTACATCACCATTATGTAATGCCCGAAAGAAAGTGTAGCATTTGACCCCCTGTATCATGATTTGAACATGTTCCAGATCTTGGAGCTAGTTAGCATTAGAGGCAACCTACTCTGATGGTTCTGTTCCTCCCATACAGACTACACCCATAGCAGTGTGATAGGTGAATATAATTCAACAATCAGGGCCCCTGACTCTGTGGTTCCATACTTTCTTTTCTCTCCTTCCCTCATTTAATATACATATTTACACTTTTAGCCTTAAATTTTAACAAGCGGCAGATGGTACTGAACAACATACACTGACTTCATCTTAAATACAAATCACATCTTTTCCCTAGATATTCGAAAGCATAATAAAATCAGCAATTGCACAACTCGAAGTGGCTAAAGTTAAATCCAAGAAAATGTGTAGAGCTTGGTACTTTGATGTGGTAGCCAGCAGTATTCCACACCAATTCATTGTTCTTAAAAGACAGTCTGCCACTCATGCATGTTAACACCAACTTCTACTTGATAGACACTCAGGGCTCCTATGCACATGCAGGGAGGTTACTCTGATGCACTGTCATTCCAGCACGTCAGAGCAGACTCGATTAATTGAGTCTGCTGAAGTGTGGAAATTAACGTGCTCCAGCTGCCTCCAGCATCATGTGTATCAGCATCCCCATGCTGAAAAACAGCGGTGGGGCACTTTAAACTAAAGCTTGTTTGATGAGTATTAGTTCAAGCACTCCTGCTGCTTTTTTCAGCACAGGGACACTGATACACATGACAGTTCAGGCACTGTAATTATCATGGCTCTTGGAGCTGTGCTCATTAACATTCCCCCGCCCCCCTCACCCAGAGCATGTCTATAAACACCCCAAATGCCATATTTTCTCACATACTGCACACCCGAAATAAGACACATACTTTGATGTTTTGGAAAACAATGTAGAAAAAAAAACATTTTTCCAGAGCACTGGCCAACTGTGCCACATAGAATAAGTACTCCTGGAAACATAGTGTCCAGGAAGTGTGGCATCCTAGGAGACAGTCTGGGTGATGCAGCAGGAACTTCCTGGTGTCACAGAATGGCAAAAAAGCTAGGTCCCAGACTCTTTCAAGGGCAGCATCAAGACTGTTTCATTTTAGTTTTTATATGAATTCCTGTAAAGAATAAAGTGTTGCTTCTGTCTCACAAACCTCAACAAGACCGTATAGATTACAAGCACCAGCTCACTTGCCCTGAGACAGCTCAGTTGTGTCTTCTGGCATGATGGTGGGAGGGTTAAAACAGGATTCTGCCCCTTATGCTTGCTGAGCCAGGAAGAAGTGGCATCCATTTTGACAGCCAGAACAAGCAGACAGTGTGCTCTAATATACTTGTTTATTTCTATACTAGCAAAGAAAAATCAGCTTTTCCACTCAGGGCATGAATCCCAATTCTGGGGAAAGGGTGCATGTGATATGTGAGTAAATATGATAGTAGTAGCAGTAGTAGTAGTAGGAGTAGTAGTAGGAGTATTTGTTGTATTACTATAACACTCAAGGGTACTCATCATGGACCTCTCTGTACAAACACAGAACAAAAAGATAGTCCCTGTCTAAGAAAGCTTATAATCTATGATAAAAACACCAGATGGATACAGATGGGCCCCTGTTCCCTGCCGTGGAGCATAAGGAGACAAATATCAGCATGATGGGCAGTGGTCTTAAACCAAAGGCAGCCTACCTATGGTCAAGCTTTTTGTAGGCATTGCAGAAAGGAGAGTTTTAATGATGGTAGATTTGCAGAGATTTATAAGTAGCTCCCCCCAAGTATGAGGGATTGCATACAAGAAAGCACAACATGTTGGTTTGAAAATCAAACAGATATCACGGACAGACTGGTGACAGGAGTTGACCTCTCAGGACTAAATGAGAGATGACTAGAAGAATGGCAATAAGTGAAGGGCTTTGAAAGTAAAGATAAGTAGGATACTTTTGGGAATGGCCAAAGAAAAAGTTACAAGGTATGCTAGGGTATGAACTTACAGTGCATCAGCTATTTCACAGTAACTGCCCACATGCAAACTTTTACCATGAGGTAAGCATGAGAAAACTTACTCCACTTTTACTGAGAAGCAAACTATCTGGAATTTATTTTAGTGCATCTATGTGCACATGAGCAATTACTATGGAGTAGCTGATGCACTGTTAATTCATATCCTGACCTCTTTGTATAGTCATAGCCATTGATGCTATAGAGAAACATTTGATGCATGCCAGTGAGGGAAGTGCCAATGTCAAAGCAACAGCCTAAGAAAATGATTTTGTAGCAGCATTATGGATGAATGTATGTAGGGAAGATTGTTTTTCTGAAGCCCAGACATACAGGTCTCATAATAACAGAAACAGGAGATGATAAAAACCTTGGACAAGAGTTTAGGTGGTGTAGATGGACAGGAAAGGCTGTATCTTAGAAATATTATGCAGAAAGTATCTACGAGATTTAGATCCAGCCTGAAAGTAAGCACCTCCAGAGCATTCCAAATTATTGATGGTGCCTTGCCTATACACATGAGTGAAAGTCAGGATGGTGATAGTGATCACCAGGGATCCTAGTTTTCCAGGGGAAAAAAAAGCAGAAAATCTCCATGTAAAAAACACAAAAATCTGCATTTTTCCATGACCTAACAAAATCGTAGTGGTATCCCATGATGAAAGGCATCATTTCTGCTCTTGGCCAATCAGCAGTGTGCCCTGCTGTCCCCTCACTGATTGGCTGAGAGGCAAAAACCATGGCAAAAATAAAAGAGAGCAGAAATGGCACCCCCCCCCCATGGGATGCTGCTGTACTTTTGGTAGGTTGCAGAAAAACATGGATTTTGCATTTTTCTGCGGTGAATGGAAAACTAGGATCCCTGGTGGTCACAATGTTTGAGAAAAGAGGTTGGAAGGAAGTGGTTTTAGCCATGTGGACCTTGATCTGATACTTAGTCATCCACAAGGAAATGTCATTGACAGACCAAGATTTTAATTTAGGTAGATAGAAATAGATCTGGAATATGGAGGTAGATCGGTGAGTTCTTCACCTAGAAATGGTAGTAGAATGTGACTTCGGAAATGGACTTGCTCAGATATAAGATGTAAAGGGAGGAAAGAAAGGGCCCAAAGAAAGCTAGAGCAAAAAGCATGTTCAATGAACTTACAGATGAAAGAAAGAATGTAGACCCATATTTGTACTAGTAAAGGCTAAAGTTATAATTTTGTAACAATGGGAGAGACTAAAAATCATGCTGAATTGTGACAAAAAACAGCAAAAGAAGAATGAGAGACTAAAGAGGAGTAACAGTGGGTGTCAGGAAATCAACATGAAATGGAAATGTGTCATTGGGGTATGCAGAGGACCTAGGGCGGGGGGCACCCAGGGCGGGGGGCAGGAGCATGGGGCCTGTGCTGGGGTGTGGGACCCATGCCAAGGCCAGTGGAAGCCTGCACCCAAAACAGGGCAGCAGGAGCACCGGTGCCCGGGCTGGAGGGGGTGGGAGGTGTGGGGAGAAGCAGTGGCAACAGAGGCAAGTAGCACGGGGCCCGTGCCAGTGCCCAGGGCCAGGGCCAGGGCTGGTGGGGGCCGGTGCCCAGAGTGGGGCAGCAGTAGTGCCAGTGCCTGGGCTGGCATGTGGGGCCAGAGAGGTCGGCAGGCAGGCAAGGTAGGTGGGGAGAGGCGGCAGTAGTGAGAAGCAGTGAGGGGACGCTGGGCATGAGCGTGGGACCTGTGCCAGTGCCCAGGGCCAGGACTGGCGGTGGCCCAGAGCGGAGCAGCAGGAGCACAGGCCCAGGCTGGTACATGGGGCTGGAGTGCTGGCAGGTGGGTGGGGGAGTGGGGAGAGGTGGCAGCAGGGCAGGCAGTAACCAATTAATCTCTATTTACATTTATTTCTATAGGGAAATGGGTTTCAATTAGTGCGGTTTCGCTTTGCACTCAGTTTTTCTGGAACCAATTAAGAGCACTAAGCGGGGGTTTCCTGTATCCAGAAGATTATTCCTCATTCCATCAGACAAACCTGCTATGGTGATCCATGTGCATCTGTGATTCAGGTTTGATATGTACAGTTACACAAAGAACTTTGGAATCAAAGTTAAAGCTACTAGAGAAAAAAAGTTTTCCTGTGGCAGGGATTAGAGACAGGAAGAGTTGCAGGGGGGAAAGGGTGTGGCACAGTAACGGCTCCTCTACTGATTCTGGGCTTGGACCTAAGTATAAGTGAAATTTGGGACATAATCCCCTACAAAGGCAACAGATCTCAAGTGCTGCCTCTAACTGTTATGTGAGCCAGGGGAAGAAATGAAGGCATCTTGAACTGCAAAGGCAGTTCAAGCACAAAGGAATCTCTTGGCTATGCTGTTGGCAGTAGAGTAGAAAGACAAAGGTCCACCTGGGGCTGTCATGCCCTCCCTCCCACCCCTGCCGCTAGTTGCTAATAGCAAGTGATCTTACCAGACTGCTTTTGTCAATTTGACCTCAGAATGTTCTGACTCTCAGCAGGCTGGTTGCTTGCTCCATCCTCCCCTAACCCCCTTCTTCAGTTTCTCTACTGTCAGCTTCAATCTCCTTGCTTTCTATGTTCATCTCAATCTTTTCATCCTTCCTCCGTGTCTACCATCTCTTCTTTCTTCCTCCCACTCAGCTGTTCTGTTAACTCATTCCCATCTGCT